ATATATATATATTTATTTATATTATACACATACTTGCATGTGCACACAGCCCTTCCATAACTAGAAAATTCAACCTTCTTGGGGCCATGGAAATCAGCGACTGAGGAGGGCGAGACGCTGGCGACGACGCCGTATGGCATCAACCCCAGCGAGAATCGGAGCCCTTCCCATGTGCAGACTTGAACACCGGAGCCGTTTCAACTAGGGGCCTGAAAGATAAAGCTAACGATGTAGCAGGAGTAACCAGTGCACCTCAAGTTGCTGTCACCATCATCATCATCATCACTTAATTGCTGGGTTTTTGGGCCGTACTGCAATATACTTTTTATCGGAGTACAAGCAGATGTTGAGGCTCCTTTTTCAGCTGAGACTGGGCTGGCAAGGGGTTTGCATGGGTGTACTTTAGATTCAACCGTATCGACATGTCGTTGAGGATGGAGACATGCGCCAGCTCAGAAATCAGCCATTTGCATTTGTGAACATTACGGAGGCCGCCGCGGCTTCGCAACAGCTCTTGCTTTCGTTCAGGCATTCAGAACCAAAGCATATAGACCTTACAGACCGGAAAGGATCACGCAATCTTAAGTTTTGTTTCTGTGGAGCCGGACAATGCATGCAGGTTGCTTCTTGCTTGGCATGCGACCATTTCAATGCCACTGTTTCAAGACTTGGCGAACACCGCCTACCCTGATGTTTCTGAGCGTCTAGCTCATGTCTTTGCAGACACAGTCGCTGCAGCCCTATTTTTAACAAACGACTGCAGGTTGTGTGTCCTTGGGAGCAGCCTCTGCTGTCGAACCGACCGCGGTGTGTGCCGTTAGGGCCTCTGGCTTATCGGCTCTATTGTGTTTGGATTTGAGAGCGCGTGGTTTGGCAGTCGGGGCTTGCTCCAGCTGTGGCCACCTTGTGGCCAGCCCTGGTATAATGTGCATCTGTAATATAGGGGCCTTCATAATTAGAATATGGCTTTGGGGCCCACTATACTACTATAATTCTGAAAAGGACCCCCAGAATTGTATCGGTAATTATTTAGGCCCCTACATTCCGCGTTTTCTTTTTGGAAGTGGGGGGAAACAGGTCTGGTGTGCGGACGGGAGGAATGCACATTATCCCAGTCTCCCCGTGTTTGAAGGACCGCATTAGCAAGATGCGTGCCGTAATGTAGGGGCCTGATAATAATTATACCTCTGCTATCTTGGATGCTCCTTAGTATAATTATAGTACAATCTAACCCAGATCCTTATTCTAATTATTAAGGCCCCTACATTACATGTGCCAGAAGAAAGCATCCGGAAGCCTGGGAAAATCGACAATTGCGGGAGTACGTACCAATGAACCCTGAACCCGGTTTAGGGTTTAGGGTTTAGGGTCCTGCCATGCGAGAGGAAAAACAGCCCTAGACCACGCAAGAAGAGCCTAAGAAAAGTGTTGTTTAAGTGCCCTAAACCCTGAACCCTAAACCTCTACAGGTGCCATAAACAGTCGTTTGCGCAGGACCCGCTCTTCGAACACCGTCGACTGACGAAGCATGCAGTACGACAGATTCCACCGAAAGCTTAGTGTTTGGGAGGGCATTCACGCTAAGGTTTATAGGGCTTTCCAGTGCCAGTTCAGGTTCTGCGACATCCCCCTAAACATTTGAACGAGTGTGAGCGCCGAAACATTTCGACCCTGAAAGCCAAGCCCTAAACTCTGTATGACACGCTTGGGAGGAGCTTCAAGAGCAAGTCGCGCAGAAGGAGCAATCCCTCAAAGAAGCGGAGGAGTCAAAAGCCCTTCTGACCTCGCAGTTGCTGCGCCGCAGTTGGGGATGTGTTTGGGATTTATATAGGGTATAGGGTGTAGAGCAAAATGTGCCAGTGAGCTTTGTAATTTGTCTAATACGCTGATTTCTGCGATGTGCCAAGTCTCCTGATCTTGGACGTACCTGAATCTACTAAGGTCAGGATACGCGGTTTGGGCCACTGCAGGAACATGTGCTACCACACGGCTCGTCATTACAATATCAGGGCCCCTCTACTGCGAACCTCATTACAGCATAGCCCGTAATCCGAAACGCTGACAGACGGCAACCCTCCATGGTCCGGACACCAAACTTAGTCTTACCGTAGAGACCCTAAACCCCTAAAAAACCCCTGGGTCCTGTTTTTTGCTACAAGTAGTTCAGTATCTTCAAGTGTTTGCGGGTTTAGGTAGTGCTACTCCGCAGCTGCTCGGCAGAGCTTGGGTTCAAAATCTGATCTTTTGGGGTAGGTTTTTTTGGGTTTAGGGTTTAGGGTTTCAGGGTTTACGGTTTGGGGCTTCCTAGATAAACCCTCAACCCTAAACCTTCCCTAGACGGCCTTCGGAGTGCAGGCGACAAACAAGGCCCTTTAAACGAAAAGCCAAACGCCTCAAACCCAAGCACAAGACGCAGTATAGATTTCTGTAGAGATCCCACAAAGGCAATGATGTCTCCGACTCCAAGGATCCATCTTAAGATCCTAAGCCCTCAGCCCTAAAACCCTAAAGCCTTAAACCCTAAAACCCTCAACCCTAAACTGTTGAGAAAGCGAGAGGGAAAAAACCCTCAACCCTAAACCCTCAACCCCACCTGAAAAGAACCCAAAACCTACTTTTTTGTAGGGTCCCTATAAGTCCCATATTAGGGTTCATAACAAGGACCTACAAGAAAGTGGGGTTTGGGTTCTTAAGGTAAACCCTGAACCCTAAACCCTCCACCCTAAACCCTAAAAAGGGCCCTTCGGCCCCCCTGGCTATAACAAGCAAATGCCTATGTAGGTATGTATGTATGCATGTACATGTATGTGTACAGTGTATTTAAATATAGATAAATAAATAAACTAATATATATATATGGGGGCTGTCCTAA